TAATTGAACATATTTTAGGTTAAAACAAACTCATGGACTTTTTGGACTCAAATTTAAGAAAATCATGTCAATTTGGATAAAACACGCCCATGCTAGGAGAAGAAGCATGGTCGTGCATATTGACCAGCACGTCTATGCTTTGAATTGATTAATGGTTGTACATAACATCAAACACGATCATGTTTTTTGACTGTTACAACCAGATAAAGACATTTCTTTTTAGATATGCATATTCAAAATTTGAAATTAGAATATAGATCAGATCTTACATAAAAAGAAACTCGTGAAAGGCATTGTCAGATCCCAACTCCTATTAAAAGGGCTTTAAAGGTAACAATGAGGGACATCTTGATTTTTACTCATACCTTTGAAAATGCTTAGAGTCGTTGGGAGTGAAAGTCACTAGTAAAGACAAAGAAAGCTTATTCAGAATCCAAGCAAGTAATTTCGCTCTATCTATTAAGAAATAGAAAGAAAAAGAATAAACGCTTTATAGGTATTATAAAGTATCTTACATTAAGGACCGCTTAAATCTTCTAAAAAGTGTCTTATAAAAAGGATTATAAAGTGTACCATAATACCATTTAAAAATTTATAATACATGAGCAATAATTACCCTAACCTATAATTTTTTAAAAAAATTTTCATCCTCAACTGTACAATGAAAACATCATACCATTTTAACTTCTTCATTAACACTAAGTAAAACATCTCTTTCTTAGAACATAAAGGGAGGGGAAAAATTTGCATGATGTCTCAATTTCTTATTTCACTTCACATCAAAGAATGAAATCAACACCTTAAGCCTTTTTCTTACCTAAAGATGTTGTCTTCCCTCCACCATTAACACCAACAATCATTATTACAACTGACTTCCTAAAAATAACAACATTTACCCTAATATAAATAATAAAAATTACAATTTAATGAGTTGTAACAAAGTAAAAAGTGCTCACACTTAAATCCAAGTTGAAGTATAGTTTTACTCTTCTTGGAGGTGAGCAATTCCAAAACATTCTTCTTCAGTGCTTTCTACAACCATTCAAATTAAAACATAACACATTTCATACCATAAGATTAAAAACTACTTGTTATATTAAGCAACAACATGATAAAACAAAGGAAGGAAAGTTTTAGTTTTTGTTCAAATGGTACTAAGACCTAAAACCATAAGCTATAAATAAGTAAACCAAACATTCCTAAACTCTATGATAGAAACAAACCAAACTTTCAAACTGCTTATTAAACCAAAAAAAAATAAAAAAATTAACTAAAATGTAAAGTATTAGATACATCAGGAATATAATGACAACAATAACAATACATCCTTCAATTAATTAGAAATACTTAATAAAGGATTATCCTCTAAGATATTATATACTCCTTGATTAGTATTGATAACCATAAGCAAAACCTAAACTTTCATTATTTAATTTAGTAATTGTTGCAACTATTTTTTTTAGATAAGAATCACTCTTTTTTACAAAACATTTTTTAGAATGCTAGAAATAAAATTCCCTCCAGAATAAGCTAATCCTTACACACAACTAATAAACTCCTAGTAGATGCTAAACTACAACCATAGTAGTCAATAACGGTCGGTGGAATAGCAGAGCGGCAGGGTAGCGGCCATTGTGTCGCAAATCGCGACCAAAAATAAAAAAAATCATGATGATGATAGTTATTTTATCTTTGGTCAAATTTTGATTTTACCCTTATTTTCTAAACGTTAGGCCTCTTTAAAGGGATAATCTTGGGATTTTGCCCCCTTTTTACATTTCTAATCTTCTCCTTCTTGAGCTAGCCCTAACTATGTCTCGTTCTCATCTCTCATATCTCTTCTCATTTTGTTCTTCTTCATCTTCATTCTCTACTACATCCTTTTGCTTTTGATGTAGTTCTTCATCTCTGACGAAGCTTCTGAAATTGTTCTCAGGTCATCTTTTTTGTTTCTTGTAAAGCTTCCAACGTGATCTCGACATTTTTTAGTCATCTTCTTCAACTCAAGTGAAGCTTTTGACGTGATCCAAACATTTTATGGTTAGCTTCTTCATCTTCGGCAAAATTTCTGACAAACATGTACATTTCCCACTGATTTACCATTCTCTGTTTTCTATTTTCCTTTTCTATTTTTTATTTTCTTCTCTTCTTGTTATAATAAGATATGAACAAGGAAAACCAATTGCTTATAGGGACAATATATTACTTCTACAAGCAACTATTTCTTCTTGAAAATTTGAATCTCACTATTTCTTTATATATTTTTAAATGTATAAAGAATTTTGAATCTCCACTCTACTCTACCGTGACTACTATGCTTCCAACACAATTTGCTATTTCCATTATTTAAACAATTAGAAGGGTGATAAGTGAAATTTTTAATTATATTATATATATCTAACCCATCATTCTCAACTATATTTTTTATTTAGTGCCATCTTTCTTAATTCTCAATCAAGGGACTTACAAAAGGATTGAAAAGGTAGTTGCAAAAAAATAAAATAAAAAATTAAATATTAATTATTGCTTAACTCCCTTTTTGTGAGCTTTCAAATTAAAAATGTTCTATGTCCTCTTCAATTTCCATGAGTTGACCCACACTAAACCAAATTCTCAATTTAGTTGTCACAAGACAAATAGGTTAAGATTAATTTAAATTAAATAATAATATATAGTGGACTTAGAAATTTATTTAATTTGCTTTTATGTGAGTTTGCATGTTCATTGGCATTTACCTACGGCACAATAAAAGGTTGCTAGTGCAACACCCTTAATTCATTTTGGTTTTACTTTTGATGGCTCAAACAAAAACTAACTATAATTACATTAGCTGTTATTACAGAGGTTGGATACAAAGTAGGGGTTAATCGTTCTCTTATTGGGCAATTAGGAGCAATCAAATCTGTCTAAATGATAGTTTAAATTGCAATATTTATTTGTAGCACAATTGTGGATCTGCTTAAGTTTCCTTATGTATGATAGCTTTCAAATGATCATGGGTAAAATAATATACAGTTAATTATTTTAGGCATTCAAGTCAAGAATTGACATTTTGTTTTTACAAAAACACGTATGCAGATTAATGACACACCTGGTTATGCGAAAAAAATAAATAAAGAAGTATTATTATTGCTAGCTATTGCATGAGACATAAAAAAACAAAAGTAAAAAAGCAAACTACAACTTTATCTGTTTTACACAACAAGATTGTAGATGGTTTCATCCTTTTTATTTAATTTGCAAAGTTATGTCATACCACGTATACGCATCTAATTTTATATGACAACTAATCTAAAGAAAAGTTTTAATTTAGTATTGAAGGATAGTTATGCTCTTCCCATCATTATTAGTTTAATCGACACATTGCTAGTTTATAGATTTATTTGTTAAGAAGGTAAATTAACAATAGACAAATAAGAGTTGAACATGAACACTTAAAATTTCTTCAGGGCCATTGAAGAAAAATAAATTAAAGTTCAATCTTCACATTGATTGTGATTTTATATGAAAAAGTTGCAAGTTTCTTTTTCTTTTTTTTAATCTATTGACACTATGTATCAAATTTAAATGCTTATATTATTTTATAACTTTTTTTTATAAGATATAAGATTAATCAATCCAACTATTGATTCGAAGGTTTTCATTAAATAGATAAATTTAATAAAATAAAATAAAAATAGATATTTTATTACATTATTTTATTTTGATAGATAATGTATTTTTAAAATATAAATAAGTATACTAAATAATATAAATCAATTATTTAAAAAATTTAAAATAAGTTAAATTTTAATATAAAAAATTAAGACACAACTAACACTTTATGAATTTATTTTTGTAAATGTTTCCAATTTCTAAAATATAATTGCATATTAATATTGATTAAAGGATAAATATTATTTCACTTCAAAAATAAATTTAATCATTCAATTATATCATATAACTTTAATGATCATGTGTCAATAAATTTTAATATTAATAAATATATTATCTTGTAATTAACATTTAATATATTTAAATAATATAATATACTTTAAAAAAATTAGTTGATAAAGTATTAATTATTTTTATAAAATTTTATTGACTTGATATATTCAATAATAATATTATTTTAACAATTAAATTAATAAAATATAATATTTATAAAAAATTATTGAATAAAGTAAGTTAAGTAAATCCCTCTTTTAACTCATTAAATGCTCAACAATAAAAAAAAAAAAATACTTTCTGTTGAGTTTAACATTTTGACAAACTAGTTTTTTCAAATTTTTGATAATTTAAAAAAAATTCTTATAAAATAATTAAATCTAGACATGTATTTATATCAAGAATCAACCTTAAAATAAAATAAAATATTAAAAATTATTAAATATATCAAGAATCTAAACATGCATTCTTTTACCAAAAAAAAAGGCCTCAATTTAAATTAAAACGAGAAGAGAAGGGTCAGAATAAAAGTTCAAAGAAAAATGGGGTCCCTCAGTAATTGCACGTAAATTAATAATATTAATAAATGATTGTACCTAAATTACCAACGGATACCTACTCTATTTTTATGAACCCAACGAATACCATTAATTTTCTGACTATTAATTAGTGTTTAGTATAAAACATAATATTAAACGAAATAACTTTATTTGAGCTATTTTTTAAAATTAAACTAAAATGAAAAAAAATAAAACGTTATATCAGTTATTTTTCAACAGCTCTCGCCATTTTCATTCCATAGAATTTAAGTGTACATTTATAATAGTTTAAGATGACTTACCTTAGCAAAATAATAAGAATACATATAAAAGAGTTTATGAAAATAATTTATATAAATTTTTTAATATAACAAACAAGTTTAATAAAATGCATCGCACATTGTGATCGTCACCATGAAATGAAAGCTACGGTGACGACAACAACATTTCACAGATAATATAACATTGCATCACTCTTCTTTTTCAATCTCATTCTCTCTGTCTCTCTCTCACCCACACACGCTTGCAATTATATTGCTCATCAACAATGTCAGAATCAGAACCACCACCTTCCGAAACCTCCACCGTTGACCCCTTCGAATTCCTCAAAATCAAACTCAACACTAACGGTTCCCTCACTCGAAACTACGTCGTTCCAACCGTTCCCCCTTTCCCCACCGCTGATCCCAATTCTCCGCCGCAACCCTCTCTCTCCAAAGACATTCCCCTCAACGCCGCCGCCAACACCTCCCTCCGCCTCTATCTCCCCCACCCTCCGCCGTCACCCTCCGCCGCCAAACTCCCCCTCCTCATCTACTTCCACGGCGGCGGCTTCATCCTCTACCACCCTTCCTCCCTCATCTTCCACCAATCCTGCGCCGCCCTCGCCGCTTCCATCCCCGCCGTTATCGCCTCCGTCGACTACCGCCTGTGCCCGGAGCATCGTCTCCCTGCCGCATACGACGACGCACTCGACGCCATCCTCTGGGCCCAAGCACAGGCCCAGAACCCGGCCCAATCAGATCCATGGATCCGCGACCATGTGGACTTTTCAAAATGCTTCTTAATGGGAAGCAGCGCAGGGGGAAACATCGCCTACTTCGCGGGTCTACGTGCACTCGACCTCGATTTATCACCACTTAAGATCCTAGGGCTCGTGATGAACGTCCCTTATTTCAGTGGGACCCAGAGGTCAAACTCTGAACTTCGTTTGGTCAACGATCGCATCTTGCCTTTACCAGCTAACGATCTCATGTGGGCACTGTCGTTGCCCGACGGTGCCGATCGTGACCACGTGTACTGCAATCCGACGGCGATGGATGAGGTCTATGGAGATAAGATCGGACGGTTGCCGAGGTGCTTCATCAACGGCTACGGTGGGGACCCTCTAGTGGATAAGCAGAAGGAGTTGACTATGATATTGGAGGCGCGTGGGGTGCACGTGGAGAAGCATTTCATTGACGATGGGTTTCATGCTGTGGAGATCTTTGATCCTGAAAAGGCACGCGCTTTGGGTGATAACATTAAGATGTTTATACTCTCAGCTATTACTCAATCCTCTATGTGATGTGACCGTGTGCGTGTGTTCTAAAATAAATAATAAATAAGTAAATAAATTTTCAACGTAGCATTGTTATTAATTTTAAACAGAAGGAAATTAAAATTCTTCGATGATGTATATTTTCCTTCGACTATACTATTGTGGTGATTTTTAATTACAAATGTTCATAGTAATAGACTGAACATTGTATGAATAAGATAACTAGTTTTTTTTTTCATCTTTTGCATTAAATAAATATTGTAGAATCAATAATTATTGTTTTCGTGGGCAACAATTACTTGTTAACTAGATTAGTGTTTACAGAACTGGTAAAGTGGTTACGTATGCTTTGGTTTGCCATTTTGTACTATCAATTTTTATTGCGAAGAGATATTGATTGATGAGTTGATTGCTTTCTGGGTGTCTTTGGTATTGGTATGAAACGATACTTGCGTTAGTGCATTTCAATTTTTATATATATGGAAGTCAGTTGGAGTTCCATACGTATATATAAAGTATTTTTATTCTCTTATTTTGCATTTTTTTACATTAGACTGCTATTTAAATACTTTACACATAATCTTTGAAAACTATCTCGATAGAGATCTTATTACACACAATCTCCGTATGTGAGATATTGCCCTACACTTGAATGTTTAATTTATAAATGATTTACAAGTTAAAAAAGTCTTATCGATGCAACAATATTCAACAAAACTCTAAAAATGTTACCTTAATAAAGTGACACGGTTGGAAAATCTTAGAATTCTTTAAAATGTTAAAATTATAAAAGACTTAACTAGCTAAAAAATAATCAAACCATAGAGATGGTGAAGTAATTAAATCAACCAAGTATAAACTCCTTGGCAATATTTATAATGGCAGTAGCCCTGGCAGCGTCCACCATGTCAATATTATGGAACCCCACTTGGTCAAACCGAGCTTCCACTTGCACCCCACACTTGACCAACATGGTCACAAGCTCTTGTTGCCGATCCACCATGAGGTCCCCAGCATACCCAACAACAAGAGCTCTCCCCAGTTTTTTCATATTATCCAAATGTGGCCCTTTCACCAGAGGATTACAATACCTATGGTCACGATCAGTTTCCTTAGGCAAAGCCAATTCCCACAACATGTCCAACACAGGCAAAGGCAACGATTGATCCGTGGCAAACGTAAGCTCCGACCCTGTCCTCTTCTCTCCCCCAAACATGGGTTGGTTCATTATCACCCCACGAATCTTTAAAGGCTCTAGATCCACGTCAGCAACCAACATAGCAGTGTTGAACGCAATGTTCCCACCGCTACCACACCCATAAAGGTAGCACCTTGAAGGGTCCCCATAATTTTTTAGCCATGGTTCTCCATTGGGGTCACTCAATTGTTCCTTCACCCACATGATTGCATCGTGTGCATCGTGGTATTGCGCTGGAAGACGATTCTCGGGCGCAAGACGGTACGCGACGGACACCACGATGGAAGGAACATCGGCGGCGAGTTGTGAGCATTTTGAGTGAGTGACGAAGTCAGAAGGGCGAAGGAGGATGAATCCACCGTCGTGGAAGTAGATCAAGATGGGTAACCGTGCCACCATATTGTCATTGGAAGGAAGCTTTGTTGGTCTGAAAACCCTGACCCATGTTTTGTTTTCATGGTTGATGGTTATGTCTTTAGAAACAGTAGGGTTGGAAGACTCGGGTTCGGGATTTGCGTTGGTTGTTTTAGTGTTGCAGCCACGAGTGAGGGTTCCGTCAGGGTTGAGAGTGATACCGAGGTGGCTGTAGGGATCAAATTTGGACATTTTTTTTGTGACAATGGCGATACTAGTTGAAGAGTGAGAGGAAATAATGGAGATAGAGAGTTGTGGTTTTGTTGTCGAAGGCATGCAACGTGTAGCATGGAGGATGAGTTAGTGTGGTTGGTTGGTTTTCTTAGAGGATTTGGTTCATGTGGAATATTTCTTGGTGCATGGAAGGTTACTAGGTAGAATACTAGGTCAGCCTCACATGTGTAACATTTTGCACCAAGTGAATTGATAAACTATATGCTATATGTTAATATGTTCTTAAAGGTTTTCCTTTTCCGACGCACGAGGGTGGTTTGAGCCACTAAAGTAATTGAGGAATAAATTTAAATCTTGTAAAATTTTTACATTTTATAGTTTGTTAAGATTTATGTAAAAGATCTGATCAAAAGAAAAATGATATATGTAAATTGTAATATCTTAAAAGCTAGTAGCGTAATTTATAGGAAATATGGTTTTTCAAAATTCTTTTAAGTAGGTAATAAAAATTGATTATTTTCTAAAAATAAAGTAAACTAGCTATAACAATTTAAAAGCAAAGATGTTAACTTTATGGATTTTAAAAACTGTTAAATTTAAAATTAAGAAGTTGTGCTGACAAATGAGTTTATCCAACCAGCCATCCAAATTTTATTTGATAAAACGTAGGATTTAAGTTTTAAATATTAATCTAAATTAATTTTTTTTACCTTGATATGATTAAGACTAATGTGAGTTAAGTTTGATAAAATCTATAAAAAAAATTAGACTTAACCTATTTTGAACATTATTTTAGAAGCCTAAATTAAATCTGACATTTTTTAATCTGACATAATCTGACATTATTTTAGACGTAATAGATTGAGTAATCTATTTTATCAGCTCTAAGTAAAATCTTTATCAAAGATATTTACGATGAAATGAATAAATTTAAAGCTAATATGAGTTTATGTACCCAATAATATGCTAGATGCCTACTCTTGATCAGAACAGTATCGCAATATATAATTTTTATTAAAAAACAATGTATACAAGTTGCCTACCTGTGAATGTTGGAAACTTGAATCCTGAAGCCTTTATCCTGTCAAATCTGTTCATGATTTACTTCAGCCAGAAGACGTAGCTTGATGGAATTTTCTTCGTAAGGTTTTGGGATAATTAAGTTTATTCCCTTAAAAGTCACCTCAAGTGCTTAGCTTTTTAACATTTACCAACAATCACTATATTTCTTGTGCTTTCTGCAGGTAATTGGAAGAACACACTTCAATTCACATGTTTTTATTGAAATTTGCAGGTTTGCTTAATATTGTTTGGCTGAAGTTTTATTATTATTGGTTTGGTTTTGCTATGGTGAAACCTATACAGTACAAAGCGCAAAATCATTTTCTGCAACGGGTCGGCATCAAAGAGTGTAGGAGGAAAAAGGAATACTGGGTATAGATTTGGTTTTCTGTTTTATGGTCTCATAGTTACACAAAATTTAGAAAATTTTCAAAATGGTTCTTGTACTGGATAGGGGAACTGATGGACCCTACATATAGAAGAAAGGAAACTGAATACCTATTCGGCTAGTCTAAATCAGTACCTCTAAGATTCGAAGATAAATAATAATTAGAATTTTATCCAAACCATGAAAAGGGCCAAAAGTCAAAGTTGACTCAGGCCCATTAGCCCATTACAGTATATATAAAAGAAATGTAGAAAGAGCAGGTAAGGGGTTGACTCTTTATTATTGAATACCATTTATTGCTCTGAGCCGAATCCTGACTTCAACATCGGAGTGCCTTTTGCAGGTACCTTCCCATATCAGCAATTGTCAGAAGGACGCCAGATCAGAGGTTAAAGACAGTCGTTTCTCAGGAAGGAACATTTTGGCGCCCACCGTGGGGCCTCATTCTTCAGGATTAAGCATGGTAATGATGAGAAGCCAGCAGGAAGGAACCTCTCGGCAACAAATGGAGTGCGTCACACCAGAGGAACTAGTACCTAAAGTGGTGTTGCAGGGAGGAACAGAGGAAAGCATTCTAGCTGTACTGAGGCAGCTTAAGGCAGAAATGATAGAGATGAAGAAGGAGCGCAAAAGAGATGCACTGGAACTCTCGACCCTAAGAAGGGAAAATGCCGGCTTAAGGGAAGAGATAAGGACACATGTCCCTTCCCAAACTACACCCGTCATCCAAGATCAAGGGGAATCCTCAGCACTGCAAGAGAAATCAAGGCAAGTCTATCAATCGGCAACCAGAAATGACCGAGACGATCTTGTGAACTGGAGCCCATTCGTTCACCACATTCTGGAGGCTAAGCTGCCCGATAATTGGAGAGGGTTGGCAATAGACAAATACGATGGCACATCTGACCCTGGAGAACACGTTGATGTCTTTGCAACACAAGTCAGTCTGTACACAGAAAACGATGCCTTATGGTGTAGAATTTTTCCTACTTCACTCCGAGGACCTGCACTCAGTTGGTTCACCCGACTCCCCCCTTTATCCATCGACTCTTTTGCAACTCTCACAAGACGTTTCAACTTGCAGTTTGCCACAAGCCGGCCTCATCCCTTAACATCCTTGGCCTTAGTCAATATTCGCCAAGAGAAAGGAGAATCACTTAGAGCGTTCATGGAACGCTTTGGCAAAGTGACTCTTTCAATTTATAACTTGGAACCAGTAGTGGCTATGCACCACCTCACAACAGCGTTAAAGACAGGACCCTTCGTTAATAGCCTCTGCAAGAAACCCCCGCTTGACCTAGACGAGTTAAGGAGTCGGGCTGCGAAGTATATGCAGATGGAAGAATTATCAAAGTACCGGAACCAGGTACGGATAGACCAAGGACCTAACCCAAAAAATGCAGAAAAGAGGGAGCTTTTAAAGCAAGGCAGGGAAACAACAGAAGAAATGAACTTGAACGACCACTCCGGGGACCTAAGTATCCTTCCTACCCTACGCTCAACACTAATCGGTCCAGAGTACTTGATCAAGCGTTGGCCACAGAAATATTGAGAATGCCTAGACGCGCCAACACTCCTCCTCGGGCAGATAAAAGTAAGTCTTGCCGATACCATCAGAACAGGGGTCACACTACCGAAGAGTGTACAACATTGAGAGACAAAATTGAAGAATTAATTAAGGACGGATACTTAAAAGATTTCGTACAGACAAATCCCACAAGGCAACCTAACAAAGAAAGAGACCGTCACCCTGAATCACCAAGGAGATCTGACGGCAAGAAATTTGAACGACATAGGAGCAGGTCTGGGGAACCTCCAGCTAGAAGATATGAGCAAGAGAAGCATCCGAAAAGGGTCATTAACACCATAGCCGGAGGGTTTGCTGGTGGAGGACATATCCATTCAGCTAGAAAGAGGCATCTTAGGCATATCCGTTCGGTTAATAATGTTTCATTGGGCAGCAGAATCCGGATCCTGCCTATTACGTTCACTGACGACGACTTTCAAGGAGTCGATCCGGTACAGGATGATCCCATGGCAATTAGTGTAGACATTCTTAACTGTACTGTTCAAAAAACACTAATTGACCAGGGGAGCTCGACCGACATCCTGTATTGGAATACATTTAAGCAATTAGGCATCCCGGAAGAAGAGTTCAAAGAATATTACGAACTGTTGGTCAGTTTTTCTAGGGAACGAGTAGAGACTAAGGGGTGTATTGACTTGTATACCTCGTTTGGATCAGAGCACGAGGGAAAACGCATAAGAGTTACTTATCTTGTAGTACATGCGAACACATCTTATAATATACTACTCGGCAGACCATCCTTGAATAAACTGAAGGCCATAGTATCCACTCCGCACTTGGCCATGAGATTTCCATCTGAAAGAGGCCAGATTTTTACCGTCCATGCTGATAAAAAAATAGCCAGGGAATGCTACTTTGCAAGCTTACGCCTTAGACCCTTTCATGGGAATAACCGAGATGTTAATATTGTATCCCCTCGGTTGGGAGAAAAGTTGGATGTTGAACTTGATCCCCGAATGAATGAGGAATATCGGGTTGAGCCTAATGAAAACAAGCAACCCTTCCAACTAGGAGTAAAACCAGAACAAGTCGCTTATTTAGGGGTCGGTTTGAATGCACAAGAAAAGCAAATCCTCCAAGGGATGTTGTTAGACAACGCCGATTTGTTTGCTTGGACAGCCTCGGATATGCCTGGCATTGATCCATCATTTCTTTGTCACCACTTATCGGTCTACAAAGGGGCCAAGCCGGTAGCTCAAAAGAAGAGAAAAATTGGTGGTGATAGAGCGAAGGCAGTAAAAGAAGAAACCAGCAAACTAATACAGGCTGGCTTTATCCGAGAAGTCAGGTATTCAACATGGTTAGCCAACGTCGTCATGGTTAAAAAAGCCAACAGCAAATGGCGAATGTGCACGGACTTCACGGACCTCAATAAAGCATGCCCAAAAGACGCATACCCCCTACCAAACATAGATACCTTGGTCGATGGTGCAGCCGGTCACAAAATACTGAGTTTTTTGGATGCTTACTCTGGGTATAATCAAATACGAATGTAATCCTCGGATGAGGAAAAAACAGCATTCATCACAAATTTTGAAAATTTTTGCTATAAAGTGATGCCGTTCGGTTTGAAGAATGCAGGAGCAACATACCAACGACTCATGAACAAAATTTTTGAAAAACAAGTGGGTAAATGCATGGAGGTGTATGTGGACGACATGGTAATTAAATCCCTCGCATTAAAGGAACATCTTGACCACTTAGAGGAAGTATTCGGCGAAGCCAGAAAGCATGGTATGAGGTTCAATCCTGAAAAATGTAAATTTGGTGTAGTTGGCGGTAAATTCTTGGGTTTCATGTTGTCTGAAAGGGGGATTGAGGCAAACTCCGACAAATGTAAAGCCATCATTGACATGCCCAGTCCTCGAAATATCAAGGACGTTCAACGACTGGCCGGGCGAATTGCAGCCCTTGCTAGATTCTTGCCAATAATGGTAGAAAGGTCTCGGCCTTTCAGTGAATTATTGAAGAAATCCCAAA